GAGAGAGAGAGAGAGAGAGAGAGAGAGAGAGAGAGAGAGAGAGAGAGAGAGAGAGAGAAACAGTTTGCCACGATGTTTGCTTCTGAAACATGTCACTCTGTTTCTTCTTGCGTTATTTCTTCCATGAAATACTCCAAGATGCGCGCTGTGCTCGAATGTTTCTTAGCACACAGCAAATGCCAAGCAGATTGGAAGTGGAATACTCCGTTACCGGACATAATTAACAACAATGCCACTCATATAATTGAAGGCAACTTCCTACAACTACCCCTGAGCGATTTTCAATCACACCGTCTTCGCCCACTGAACTGAGACTTACACATGCCCACACACTGGCCAGGGTTGGTGTGAGTAAACTCAGTAACGTCGATTACTTTACTCAGGGGTATGACTAACTCCGGGTGACATAGTGCGTCCTTACCCATCAGCCAAGTGCATCCTGGGCAGACTGTCGGGGTTCAACCTCTTTCCTGATGAGTCAGTGAAAGTCTGACGAAACAGTTTGGCACAGTCATGCTATTTCTGTGGAGTTGTGCAAATCATACACTACACTACAACAGACACACACACACACACACACACACACACACACACACACACACACACACACACACACACACACATGTGATTTTGACTGGCTTGCTGTCATCATTAAACCTGAGTGGAAGCAGAAACCCCTCACATGTGAAGAATTACGTTATCTCCTGATATCCTGAAAAGAATGTTTCTTACGCACCAAGGGAAAGAAGTGCTGACAAGGCAATAGATGAAAAATTCAAAAAATATATTTGACAGAACAGTTCAGTTGCTATCCAACTGCCCTCAGCCCACCCCACACCACTCATGCTCTCTGCTTTCGTTTGCAAAATTTCTTTTGTTTTTGCGGGGCGAGGTGCAACAGGTAATCTAGTATGTATAATCATACTATAATGCCCCGAAGAACCACCAGTGAACCACTGACAGAAATGGAGAACAGGACAAAGAACCGGGCTTGCGATGGACTGTTTCCTCACTCTTACACTCATCAGGAGGCTGAACCCTCGCCAGTCTGCCGAGCCCCTCATGGATGCCTGCAGCAACAACAACATCATTTTCTGTGACCCAGAATGGAAGTGATCTCAAGCAGAAGTAGAGACTCAGAGTAGAAGGGGCTGGTGTCAAAAAAAAAAAAGAAAGAAAGAAAAGAAAAGAAAGAATGGAACTTTATGGAAGTGATCTACCACCGGGCCCCGGCCAACACGAACTGACCCAGAATGAAAGTGATGTACATCAGCAGCAAGGAAAGCCCCCAAGAGAACAAAGAAGGAATACAGCCAGAAAATACACTCCAAACGAATAGCCAAAACATAGACCCATGGCATGACTGTGAGTCGAGACCTGCCACGTTAAGCCCTTGGCAGGGAGCTTGCAAAACCATATGCATATATACTGTCGCAAAAAAGAGCCATCCCCAGTGGACCAGTGATGAAAACGGAGAAAAGGACGAAAAACCAGGAATTATGCAAGACTGTTTTGCCGGGCATCCGTCCATTCATAACAAATCTGAACCCTCGACAGTCTGTAGAACCCCCTACCAATGCTTTATGCCATAATAATAACCTGCCTTGACTCAAATCAAAGTGGACAAATTACCTTTGCACATCAGATGCAAGACTCCACAGATGGTTGGTTCACGCCACCCACAGCAGCCAGGATACCCTCGTTCCTAAAGGCACAAAGTCTCTAACGGGCCAGAAAACTGCTCAGTGACCTGTTAGTGGAAAGGAAGAAAAGACAAACAAAAAGACAGAAGGGGGAACTGTCTTAAACTGTTTCCTTGGACCCTCACCTGCTCACCAGGGCACTCTTCTTAAGACATAAGCCTGCACTCTGACATATTAGGCCATTTCCTTGCACATTGGTGATTATGTTGAAGAACTGGCAAGATTCATCTCAAGATCAAACACAGTGGTTTGACAGTTAGCATGCATCATGTACAATACTCCACCTGCTGCAGATGCAATTCCAGGCAATAATGTCGATGGTAACGATGATGATGGAGGTAGCGACGACAAAGAAAAAGATGATCATACTGGTATCTCATCAACACCACTAAGCTCCGATGACAGCATTGATCACACTGGTATCTCATCAACACCGCTAAGCTCAGCTGCCAATGCACTTTATGGTGTAACTTCCAGCCATAAGAACTCCTCCTTCCTCTTGATAACCGTTGACCTCATGATGACGACGACGACGACGATGATGATGATGATGATGATGATGATGATGATGATGATGATGATGATGATGATGATGATGATGAGTACTACTCCTGCCTCTTTAGACCCTGCTTACCGCGTGGTGATATACCCAATCTATACTGAAGGCTGTCAATGAACTCCTTGTCCTGGCTCATAAACGACAGTGAGGTGGCCTTTCGCTTGAGAAAAGCCTTATCCACTGACTCAGGGAGTGATACTGACAGCTCATTTTGCCCCTCTCTTGAGGTACCTCGCCGTGCTCTGCCTGCCTTTTGTTCAGCCTGCTCCTCCTCTGGACCCAGGTGCATGGCCCTGCGCGTTGGTGAATCCTCCCCCACTTTCTTGCCAAAGCTACGCTGCGCCAATGCTCGAAGCATACTCTTTCGCAGGCTTGCAGGTGTTGCAAAGCCGGGAGCCGATGGAACGAACCCAGGTGACTCTGATCCCACCGATGACGAGTCCTGGGAGGAGGCAAACGCCACCCTGTGCTCAGGGATGCCGTCGTGTGCGACCCCCATTGCATATGCACCCTCAATTTCAGCCTGAAGCACGCTTTGATAATGCTTTTGCCGTTCTGCAGCTTCCGATGCTCTCAAACGAAGCCTCCGCTTGATTAGCCAAATGTCATGGCAGAGGCGGACCCATGTGTACAGGATGCCACAGACACGAGCCACACTGAAGGCTTCACTCTGCATGATTTCACACAGGACAGCTCCCGCCCACTTGAAGACGGTGTCGAAGCTTGACCCCTTTTTGCCTCTGTCCAGGTCTGTATTCTCCATCAGCACAACGGGCACGCCAGCTTTGCGTTTCGCCGCAACCTTGCTTTTTCGTGTGGGAACGTTCACTTTTAATATCCTGGCCAGATTTCCTCTGCCAATTATGAAGTTACGGATGATGTTCCATGCTTCAAGCAGATACGGAGTGTCTACAATCTTTTCCGATTGCTGACTTTTTCGAAGCTCAAACAAACACTCATCTATGTTCACGCCAGGAACAATCTTCCCCGAAGCTATCATGAAAAAGGCAAGCCACAGCGCCACCACTATTGAAGATGGCCTCATGTAGGTCGACATTTCCGCAGCTTGCCTGCTCATATCAGTCTCCCGCATGATGTCAACGACCTGCTCAATACGGGGCCCAAGTTCAACCAAGCGCCAGAGAAGTGAGAAGGAATCAGTTATAGCTATTTTTGGAAAAATGCAAGGTCACACAGGGATGCCTTGTATCCGAATACGGGAGGGACGGAGCGGCAGACAACCGATCGATGTGTAAGTCAAATGAAACAGAAACAAACAAAAAACAAGAAGCAACAAATAAGAAGACGAAACCAATAAAGCATGACAGGAAGGAAAGAAATGCCGATCCACAACAGTGAGAGTCCAGAAAACAACGCTATATCTGACATTCTCTGCTGCATATACGATAACCTTTTTCCAGTTCCAAAAAGTTTTCCCGAAGACGAAACCAATAAAGCATGAGAGGAAGGAAGAAATGTCGATCCACAACAGTGAGAGTGCAGAAACAATGCTATATCTGGCGTTCTCGGCTGCATATACGATAACCTTTTCCACTTCTAAAAAATTTTCCCTGTGACCTCACACAAGAGAGTGAGTTCTAAAAAGTTTTCCCTGTGACCTCACACGAGAGAGTGAACAGCACCCTCCACACGGCCCTACTCACCATTAAAATACCCCCCTTCCCACAAGCTGCGGTGATAACATGGTATCTGCTGCTCGGAAAGGTCACTCTATGGTCAATCTGAAAAAGAAGATGATGATGATGGATGATGATGATGATGATGATGATGATGATGATGATGATGTTTTGTCCTTCGGGACATCGGTTAAAATTGGAACGATGCAGAGAAGATTAGCATGGCCCCTGCGCAAGGGGGGGGGTGAAAAAAAAATGAAAAAGAAGATGTTTGCATCTGAGTGATGGGCAGATGAGTGACAAGGCGGCGGCGTGGGTGCAGCTGATTGGCTTGGTGGAAGCAGAGACCAGATGTGGATGGTACAACAAGGTCAAGTGGCCCGCAAAAAGACTAAACCAGCGCAGTTCGAGGCCAAAAGGAAAACATCTATACATGAACATTGAAAGGATTTCACGGGTATCGGCATCCTGGCCCAGACCTGGTCCCAAGGTTGCAAACCCCATGTACTCGGAGTTCCAATCCAGTAGGTCGATAGGTTCAGTAGAGTCCAGTCCGTAGAGTACATTCCAGTTCCGTCAGTCCGTACAGTCCAGTCAAGTCCAGTTCAGCGGCCCACGGCCCAAGAAAAGTCCGCGGACATTTTGGATGCGTCAAAGGCCGACCACGACCAGCAAGTGAGGGTACCGAATCCGGAAAGCCGAGGTAGGGCAACTGAAGCGTTGCATACAAAAGTCCAGAATATTTTCCACTCATGCTAGTTGTGGAAGCCCTGCTGCGTTCTTGTAAGACCAAGTGATGAGCATGCCTAAAGTGAGGCTGAAAGTATCAGTTGTTGACAGGGTGAAAGAGTGAGGCCTGAACATAGGGTAGACAGACACAGAGGGAGAGGGAGTGAGTTCATTCTTGATTGGGGTTGCTGGTGGCCATAGCCACGCAGCTCGTATAAGCAACAAACCTGTTGTACAAGACGTAAACAATGAATTTTTGGAGTTGTCATATCTTGTGTTTGGCTCTCCTATTCCCGTGATGAAGTGTGTGATTTGTATGCTGTGAGATGCTGTTGAATTGTGGGTTTATTTCAAACTTCGATGAGAGCATCCTCTTCTGGCGCGCGATTGACGACTTTTGGGCAAGCAAATTGGAGTGTTGTGCTGGCGCCGTGAAGGATCAAGGCGGGCGCGTTTGGGGTTGACCAGTGAGGAGGAAGGGTGACCGGAGGAAGAAGAGGTCATGTTGGGAGGGGATACTCACAAGGTGGAGTTGTGATTGGAGCATCGAGCATGCTACGAACTTTCATTGAATGGTCTGTCGTGAAGTGCTTTTGGTAACAAGAGCCTTGTATGTGTTGCGCTTTCTGCTTTTGACGTTCGAATTTAGCTGGTCTATTCTAGGTGACTTTGGGCTGCTCATGGTCATGCCGTAGCATAGGTCGTCAGTCAGGAAGTTGATGTGTGTTGAGGACCTTGTCGGATTGGCCCCCCAACCTGATTTGCACTTTTGACTCCCAACTCGGTTTCGCAAAAACACGCCTTTGTAGATAGGTAGGTTAACGACTCACAAACAACCTGAAGCTGCAGTTGCTGCGTTGGGCCGGAGCGGGGCCCACTTGCAAAGAAACCCCTCTATTGGTATGTGGGATGGCAAAGCAACACGTGGTTAATTCCCTTGGAGACATAGGCTGATGTGCGTGCAGGGGGGTGACATAGGCTGGTGTCCGTGCAGGGGGGTCAGATAGGCTGATGTGCGTGCAGGGGGGTTCAAAAGTCCGTAAGTGTTGAGGTCTTAGCGGTCACAGGGCCCGGATCTTTGCGGTGCCGGCCACTTACTTGGGCAGAGAGAGTCGGTTGGGCACTACTCGGTTGGCCATGTCGTCCTGACTTTTTATGCCACGTCAAAGAGTTCCTGAAGATATGTGGCCCGGCTATAAAGAGAGCTGTTGGTCAGACAGAGTAGTGCCATTGTCTGTCAAAAGGCTAGTTGGCAAGAGGAGAAGTGCAAGTCAACGTTAGGTGAAAAGGAGGCAGAGTCTACGCGGGAGGAGGTAATGGAACAGCGGTTGAAGTCAAAGGTTGACCTTTCTCGTGCAGAGACGTCACCATGTATGATTATCTCATGTTTCGATGGTTGCCATGTCACATGCTGCTTGAACCCCTCTTTCAATTCTTCTTCTTTCCCCTCTACGATCTTCATCCCCGCCGTGCGATACTGAAAGGCGGGAGATGTACAGGAGACAGTGCAAAGGAAAAGAAAGAAGGGGAGGAGAAGAACAAAAAGGAGGAAAAGGAAGACGACGAAAAGGACGTGAAGAAAGGGTGAAAAGCGGAGAAGGAGAAAACTGATGTTGGAGACGGAATCTTACCAATTGACTGTTGTAAGGCCCTCCGCCATGGATGACTACCCAATGTACGTGTTCCTTCCCCTATCAGCGTCGTGGGACCGAAGTGCCCCAGCCCAGAGAAGAGGCGGAAGGGGAGACGAAGAAGAAGAGGGAGGAACCCAAGACTTCTGCCGAAGGAGGGACAAAGACAATGGAAGAGGGAGGAAAAGAGGAGGGGAAAAATAAAAAAGAAGAAAAACCAAGGAAAAGTGGAGGAGAAGAGCGGAGAATGTGAATCGTCGGAGGAGGAAGAAGAAGAACAACAACAATTACAAAAGAAGGAAGCGAAGGAGGAGATGACGATGATGAAGAAGCAAGCGGTGAAGGACATCGCCAGTGTGCTTGTAACTGAATTGCAGGGGGCGGATAGAGCCAGTCCTACCCCTGACGTCACGTGCCACGGCCCCTGGACGCTCAACCTCAGAGCACCAATTCACTCCTTGACCAGATGGAACTCGACGAGCAACAGTTGGAGCAAGCGCTAATAAAAGCTGAAGCCGATGAGGAGAAGGCTCGAGTGCAGGCACAGCAGCTGGCAAAGGCAAAGGAGGAGGCATATAGAGTGAGCGAGGATTTGAAGGAGAAGGTTGCAGAGGAGCCTCAGGGGATCGTTGCAACTGCACTCAGGGCTGTCGATCATGCAGCAGTGGCTCTAATACAGATCAGGGAATTGGAGAAGTGGCAGCATGCCGTTACTGCTTGTTTTGAAAAGTAGATGGAATTCACGATACTAGTCTTTGCCAAACGGACAGTGGAGCTAACCGCCGCACTTGTACACACAGAGACAGAGAGAGAGAGCTGTCTCTTATACACATCTAGA